ACAGGTGCACGACACCATGCCCAGCTAATTTTTTTTTGTATTTTTAGTAGTTTCACCATGTTGGCCAGGATGGTCTCGATCTCTTGATCTCGTGATCCACCTGCCTCGGCCTCCCAAAGTGCTGGAATTACAGGCTTAAGCCACTGAGCCCAGCCTATATTTGTATTTCTTGAAAATACTTGATATAACACTATTTAATATTTTTCTTGTTTATACTTGTATACATATTATTCTCACCAGCATAACATGCTCCTTCCTTCCATTCACTAAACGCCCCTGTGATTTACCATTTCTTAGTTAATGACATGTCGCTCTCTCCAAACCACTCCACCTAAACTTAGTACTCACAACTATTTTGTTGTATAAAACATTTGTGTATTCATAAATGTACCCAAAAGACCACAGTTAAATCCAGTAAACAGCTTTCTGAGCATAGTTTTTGAATACTGGGACACAGAAAATATATACTCGGTCTTTGCTTTGGAATTGAGACTGCTCCGAGTCAGGGATTTTGATTTACTCGCTCAATATTACACAGTTGGATGGTCATCAGACAAGAATAAACTCTTCCTGATTTTCAGATACTTAGCTGGTCATGCAGAATTGTAGATGAATAAATAAATTATATATGTATATATTGGCAGCATGTAAAAATGAGATATTCCTCAGAATTCCTGGGATATTGTATTAGAGCTAAAGAACAGATAGAAATAAAACTTCAAGTAAAATAATGACATTTTTTATATTCAAGTGCTATGACTATTATGTTTCTAATCAAATTCAATTCAAACTGTCCTCAGATTCTTTTTTGCCTATCATCTTGCAATTATATTGCTTTTTTTTCCCTGCATTTAATCTCTTTGGATGCAATTTTTATCCAATTAATAATTTTATTGTCCAATCAGAACAGTCTCTTAACATTTTGGTATTTCATCAATAAAATGTCACAGCTTTCTATTTTGGAGGCACAAGTCTTTAGCTTCTAACAATGTGAGACTCAATTGTGAACATAGTTTCTCTAAGTACAAAGGTTTCAAGTAAGACCATATCAATGAACATGTTAGAAAATATAACACACACATGCACATATATGTAAGTATGCATATGCTATGCTAAAAACATAAGATAATGTATAAATGTTAACTAGCTGTGTCTGTGCACATATTTAAAATTAAAATCAAAATAAAAATACATCAGACACTTGTTAAAAATGGCAAGGAAAACTTTATTCAAGACTATTGTAATAGCAGAGAAAGACCACGCTGTAACAAAAGATGAAAAATAATTTAAACACTTTGGTGAGCTAATGAAAAGGTGCTATAAGATGTTAAGGGAGGTTGGTCAATATGATTAGTCCATCTGTGTTTGCTAATTGGTGCTTATTAAAGAAAGGTTCCTATCCTCCCACAGAAAGGAGGAGAAGGGGTTCCTATCTTTCTTAATGAGGGCATTTCAAAGGAATGACTCCAGGGTCCTTGAGAAAGACATTCCTAGAATATGAAGATTTACATCTCAAAGGGAAAGAATTAATATAACTGCAAGTTTTCTATTGCAGATGCACTAAGAAAAGGGAAGTTAGAGGTCCATAACAGGAAGAAGACTATCTAAAGTTTAGTTCACTTGAGGGGAAGTGTTAAGACCATCTTGGTCAACTAATCTGCTAGTTAAATAACCTCCTATTCCTTTATCAGAAGAGCCAGCCTAAAATATATTTGATCAACTTGCTGTTATTTAGTATTTAATTGGATACTTCTAAGTCTCTCTGTCTCCTTCCCATTTTGGTGTTTATGCTCCCTTTTTAAAATTATCATGGAAAGGAGAGAAGGAGAGAAGATCCTTTTCTAACCAGGGAAGATTCACAGTGTAGAATGCCTCAAAGGAGAAAGAAGTATGAAGACAAGTTACACACTTTTTTTTCAATTCATTAAATGTCAGTTGTATTAATTGATATTTTCTTGAACATTCAAATAGGTTTCCTTTAACACTGCACATGAAGTTTAGTGTAATCTATTATTCATATAATTTCAAGTATTACTATCAGAAATTTTAGCAATATGGCAAAACATAACTTTCACTAGTACAGTAGTCTCAGAGAATAGGTTCCAAGACCCCCAGCAGATGTCTAAAAACTGTGGCTAATACCAAACCCTCCATATACTATTTTGTTTTGTTTGTTTTTTTGGTTCAATAACGGAGAGGGTTACTAAGTGAGTATTAGGTGTACAGCATGTGCAGCATGGATCTCCTGGGCAATAGGATGATTCACATCCTGGGTGAAACTGAGCAAGATGGTGAGAAATTTCATCATGCTACTCAGAAGAACATACAATTTAAAACTTACAAATTGTTTATTTCTGGAGTTTTCCATTTAATATTTTTGGACGGTGGTTGACTGTGGATAAGTTAAACTGCTAGAAGTGAAACCCATGAATAAGTAGTAGACTTCTGAGGAGTCTCAGTCACATGACTCATTTTTCACAACCTTTCTCCAAGCACCAAAACAGGCTTGTGAAGTTACATTCTCTAGCTTTCCAAAAAGTGTGTGCAGATACACTTTTTGATAGGCAGTAATAGACTATATCTCTAACTTGGTAAAGTTATTTACAATTGAAAACCTGACACAAGTACAGATTAAAGAGAAACCATAACAGAATTCAATTTCACAGAATAATTTATTTCTTGATTCTCAGCCAGTAGTAGTCATGAAAAACCTATTTATGTTAAGAAAACAGGATTCAATGAGGCTATAACCAGGAAGGTTAAATTTGGATAACTGCACAATTGCATTAAAACCATCCATCAAGTCTAAATGCCTACCATTATTTTGGTGGATTCTCATTTCTTTTATAATTCATCATTTTCAAATGTAAAATAATTGTAAGATTCCACACTTTTGACCTTTAGAAAATGTCAAAAGAAAGGAAAATGCTTTCTATAATGTCAATAGGTGGTTTCTTTCCAAATTATTTCATAATTTGTTTCTTTAAATTAGTTCAGAACACTTTTGATAACTAACTAAATTTCCCTAAAATAAAAGCAAAAACAAAAGAATGAACTTCTTTTATTCATTAGATTATCTTGATGGTTCTTGGTAGATAAAATTTATTTTACCTATGCGAAACCTTTATCACAGTTTGCCTGGCAACACTCTCCTTTTCCCCTAGTTTACTGACAGGATTATTACTAGTGTCTCTTTCACATTCAAATGTGTACCAGCTCAGATGATAAATTATATAGTCACTCTATTACCAATTCTATCAGTACAGGGTTCTACAGAGAAATAGAACTAGAAAGAGGAAGGGAAGAAGAGATGGATGGTTGGATGGATAGCTAGCTAGCTAGAGAGGTAGCTAGCTTGCTAGATCCATAGATACATAGAGAGAGATATATAACCAGTTAGAGATTTATTTCAAGGATAGGCTTTTGTAATAATTATGTGGGGCTAACAAATTTGAAATCTGTAGAAACTACAGCCTTCAAACCCTGGAGCAAGAGGTGATACTGTATTCTTGAGGAATAATTTCTTCTTTCTCAGATAAATGTTTTGCTTTCCACACCATTAAGCTGATTAAATAAAGATTACCCTCCTCACCAAAAATAATCTTTAATTGAGATCAACTGATTATAGATGTGAATTACATCTACAAACACCTTCCTAGCAACATTTTGAATAAGTGTTTAATTGAATAGCTGGGTACAATAGCCTAACCAAATTGGCACATAAAACTAACCATCACACTAATCAATACAAAAACTAGGAAATTTTTTCACTAGGATATTAGCAATGGGGAAAGATGTTTTTCACTTAATTGACTTATGTAATTAACCAAAGCTTTTCTGTTCCTCTATAAAGCATACTAAATGATGCCCACAACACACCTAAGAGTAACAGTTAAAAGTTTATTCTCTTGCCCTCAAATTTCTGCTCTTATCAGTTGATTGACATGTATACTATAAATCAGTTGTTTTTCACCCAAACTATGTATTTCTCCCTTTAGCTCAAATGTTAGCAATTTTCAGTGCATAAATTTGGCTCTTACCATATGTCCATTTAGCACATATTCATCTTTCAAACTGGCTATATTTTGATATCATTCAAATAGATGCCTTATTTACAATGTTATGGAATGGGGTGAAATCACCTTTGCAAAAATTATAACATAGATAATTGTGACAATAAAAGAGATGTGACCTAACTAACACCATCTTGCTTTGAATCTCCAAGCTGTTCTTATTCATTCTTGGGCATAGACAAAACTAACTTTGGGAGGAACTTCATTTATAGTTTAAGTTTGAAACAAAGATGATAATAGCTCTTTCCCAAAATAAACCCCATTTCTGCCTGTGAACTAGACTGCCTTTCAGGACTCACAGATTAGCTGCAAGATTAGAAATTACAGTTTAGAAGTCATGCAGCTGGAGGCTCAAAGATTCTAAACCTCTCAAATTTCTCCTGAGGATAACACCACTATAGTAAAACTTAAGATCAGTCCTTAAGATATTTTGCAGACCCTCCACTGCATGGGTCATCTGGTATCATCCAGATTGATAAACTGGCTCATCTGGTTTTATGTCCTCTACCCAGGAACTGACTCAGCAGAAGAGAACAGCTTCAACTCCCTACGATTTAATTTTGACCAGACCAATCAGCATTTTCTACTTTCTGACTCCCTACCTACCAAATTATCCTTAAAAACCCCATCCCTGAGTTTTCAAGGAGAATAATTTATTATTTTGAGTAATAATACCACTCTCGTCTCCTGTACAACCAGCTCTACCTAAATTAAACTCTTTCTCTGCTGCAATTCCCCTGTCTTGATAAATTGGCTCTCTCCAGGCAGCAGACAAGGAGAACCTATTGGGCACTTACAGGGATAGAGAATTTGCAATGCATGCCCAAACAAAGTTGAAGATCCATTAGTGGTTCACTCCACGTAGGCTGCTATAACAAATATACCACTAACTTCATGGTTTATGAAATATGAACATTTGTTTCTCACAGTTCTGGAAGCGAAGAAGTCCAAGATCATGTTACTGATGGATTTTGTGTCTGGTGAGGCCCATTTTCTACTTCATAGATGGTGCCTTCTCACTGTGTCCTTACATAATAGAAAAAAAGTGAGCAATCTCTCTTGGGTTTCTGAAGACATTGTGTGAAAGTTCCACTTTTATGACCTAATCATCGCCCAAAGATTCTATCTCCCAATACATCACCTTAGGGGCTAGAACTTTAATACATAAATTTTAGGGGGACACAAAGATTTGGACAATACTAATTATATGTTTCTTCTTTGTCCAGAATTACTTCATCTTTCTTACCCCATTTACTTTATATAGTTTTGAATGTTCTCCCCATACCATAATTTTCCAGAAATATTTGTTTTTGATTATTAAGTTGCATAATCAAAAATCATATTTTCCTTTTTAGGAAAATAAAATCAGGCATCGTCCCTCTAAACATACGTTCCCCTAGAAAACCAGCTCAGCTCAGTGTGCATTTACAATTATTCTAATAAATCCTCATATTTCACAATTCAATTATTTACTGTAATCACTAAAAGAAATGAGAATTTTGCAGAGCTAGAAAAATTCCTGTCAAGGAAATAAGATTTACTTCATATAGTTATGGGGATACTACTTTTTCTCATAAAAATATCAATGAGTTTTAGAGATATTATATACAAAATACAAAATACCTATTTTAATGATTGGTATATACTATTTGCTCAAGAGAAATATTATTATTGATTTCAACACCTTGCTTTTGTGGCAAGCTTTTACTTTTCTTAGAATGTGTACTTGATAATAATATGTATTTTATAAAAGCAATAGGAACTGAAACATAATTTTACATTATATGTTTAATTCAATTTTCTGTGCCTTGTTCTATACGTTTTTTTAATCTCAACACATCATTTTTAACTAAAGATGAAATAATGTATCAAAATGTCATACTTGCTCAAATACCCATTTCAATTTTTTTAATGTAATCTTCTATGTTTGTATGTTTTCCAGGATAAGACTTTCCTCTAGCCTTTTATGTTACATTTTCAAACATGTACAAAAATTTTAAAGAATAACATGAATACCTATGTACTAAAAGCCTTGATTTTTTTCCCATTTGAGAATAAATTCACACATCATGACACCTGAGACCAAAATACTCAGTGTATTTCTACTAAGAATAAGAACATGCTTCTACATACTCACAGTACTGCTTTATGCCTAAAAAGTTACTCGTATTTTTCAACCTCATGGAACATAGAATGTATATTTCCCCAATTTCCCTTAAAATACTTTTTATATCTTATCACTTGATGAAGCATTAAACTTTGAAAACAGCTAGAACTGACCGCATAAGTAGGTTTGAGTTTTCATGTAGAGTTTATGTTACCGTATTTAAACTGATGTATAAAACCAGTATTTCAATGTATACATCTCCAATAAGAAGTATCAGTGTTTCAGCTACTTGCAACCATTTGCTAATTTTGTTTGATAAATTTAGAATTCAAACAAGGCAGTTAGTTGTTTAATTAGAACTTAAGCAACTATATGCAAAACAAGTGCCAAATAGTATGAGGATGAGACTGGTTGACTCCAAAGCCAGAAATATTTCTTGCGCTTACAATTGTCCATGTATGGGTTTTCCTTCTTAATAATTTGAAGTAGTGCACTTTGTTTTAGTCCAGCTATCACTATCTTAGTTTAGACTTTGTTTTCTTTTTGAGACAGTCTTGCTCTGTCACTAGGCTGGAGTGCAGTGGCACAATCTTGGCTCACTGCAACCTGTGCCTCCTTGGTTCAAGTGATTCTCCTACCTCAGTCTCCTGGGTACCTGGGACCACAGGTATGTCCCACCATGCCAGGCTAATTTTTTGTATTTTTAGTAGAGATGGGGTTTCACCATGTTGGCCAGGATGGTCTTGATCTGATCTCATGATCCGCCTGCCTCGGCCTCCCCAAGTGCTGGGATTACAGGCGTGAGCCACTGCACCCAGCCTAATCATTGTTTTCTATTGAATTATCATTCTGGTTCTATTGTTAAATAACAATCACACACCTGCCCTCAAAAGAGTGGCTTAAAATAACATCATCATGACTTTTGCTCACAAATCTGAAGATACTGGTCTTAGCTAAGCAATTCTTTCTTGGGATCTCATTTAGTTTTAGTCAGATGGTAGCTAGATTGATGTTTTTTTTCAAAGGCTTCTTGACTTGCACTTCTGGTGATGGGGCAAGGATAATTCAACAACTGAGGATCTTTGATCATCTCTTTCTTTATCTTTATGGGCATGCTTTGGGTCTCCTCACATGGTGACTGTAGATGAGCCAGACTTATTCAGTAAGCACATGAGAAAACAGCTCTCCATTTGTGTCATCAGAGGACTAGCATGCTTCTTCTCTAGACAGCAGTGACTCTTTTCAGCTCCTGTATTCCCTGTCCCTGGAATAATCAGCTTGGAGAAAGGGCAAACATGAGTGAGACAGAATTCTTGTCATCCAAACATTCCCTTGTGTTGCCCCAGAGGGACAAAATCCAAGTTTCTTAGAATGTAAGGAAGATAAATCAGATACTTATACTATAATTTTACATTCAGCTTCTTAAGTAGTTTTTCTCATGTGTCTTTCTTTGAATTCATAACTCACATGGAATTACAAGACAGGAGCACAAATAGACCAAAGAAAACATCCATTCCATCTGCATCCATCAGACACATCTGTGAGCACAAGTTTTCAGGTATGTATCTTAGTTTGGATTATAATGTTAGTTAAAAACAGGGTTAAGTGTATCCTACTGAAAGGGTTACACTACGGAAGAGATTGTCTCTGTCCTTATCAGCAACCCATTGGACCTGCAAAAACTCTCCCAGTCTTCTGTAGTGTCAGGCCACTTCAAATAACAGACGGTTTCATTTTTTTTTTAGCTTTATTGACAAATAATTGACAAAAGTTTTATATATTTATGATGTACAACACAAAATGATATACACATTGTGCAATAATTAAATTAAGCTAATTAAGATATCCATCACCTCACTACTTAACATTTTTGTGGTAAGAATATTTAAAATCTATTCTTAGTAATTTTCAAGTATGTAATAGATTACTATTAACTACAGTTAATAGTACGTAATAGATTACTATTAACTACAGTCATGACACTATATGGTAGATCTCCAGAATTTTTTCATCCTATGTAATTGAAACTGTGCCCTTTGACCACCATCTCCCCATTCCCCTACTATACCTAGGCCCTGCAAACCACCATTCTACTCTATGCTTCTAGGAGTTCAACTTTATGAGTAAGATCATGTAGTCATTTCTTTCTAAGTCATGCCTATTTAACTTAGCCTAATGCTCTCCAAGTCCATCCATGTTGTTGCAAGTGACAGGACTTCCTTCTTAAAATAGTTTTTAACTTACAAATTTTACAAGTAGGAAGCCAAGGTATTTTCGCAAGGGATGTGCAAACCAGTCTTTACAAGAAGATGAAAGTCTTCCAAGGATGATATAAGGAAAAGATGGCACAAAAGGACCCAAGTCTTTCTCTTTTATAGCAGACTTGAATTGTCACTCCACTGTTTCAAAGGAGTAGCAGTGGGGTCACTTCAGTGTCTTAGCCACTTCTCCTAAGTGCTTGGGCAGCACCTACAAACAAGCTCCTGCTAGAAAGCCATGTGGAGAAGTGACAAGAGCATATCCAGACAGATGTTGCAAGAATGGAAAACAGAATCTACAGTTAGGATTGAAGATTTATCTGCATAAGGTAGTAGTAGTAAGAATTTTGGATGCTAGTTCTGTCACTTTTTAGGTTCCTGAATTTCATTAAATTGAAGGCTCTTCAACTCAGTTGAAAAATAGTGAGAAAAGTGATACATACGACAGAGGGCTGTAAATTGCCTGAAATGCGATAACCTATAAGGTTCTTTTAGCTCAATGCCTGATATACAATAATGCTCAATATGTATTTACTATTTCATTATTATTACAGAGTGACTTTTAGAAATAAAGGCTTTTTCAACAATAAATACAACAGGGAACCTTAAAATCAGAAATTTAGCACATATAAGAGCATAAAGGCATAAAAGTGGTACAGCGATGCCAATAAAATGATCCAGTCAGATAGTCAAACATAGGTTTAAAGACAGAAAAGATGCATTTAATGGAAATGGAAATGAAGGAATTAACAATAAGAGCTGACCACTTTATACTTTTAATCTAAACTCACTGTAATTTTTGACAACTGTGACAGGCAATACTTTGATAAAAAGGCTGGGAACTACTGAATATGGAGCTTGCCTCCCCCACCCCCATCTCTCTCTCTTTTGTTTTTCCAGAAGAGGTCTTGCCGTGTCGCACAGGCTGGAGTAAAGTGGTGCGATCTCGGCTCAATACAACCTCCACCTCCCGGGTTCAAGCAATTCTCCTGTCTCAGCCTCCCAAGTATCTGGGATTACAGGCCCATGCCACCATGCCCACCTAATTTTTTGTGTTTTTAGTAGAGACAGATTCATCATAATAATCAGGCTGCTCTGAAACTCCTGACCTCAAGTGATCAACCTGTCTCTGCCTCCCAAAGTGCTGAGATTACAGGCATGAGCCACCGCACCTCGCCACCCTCCGTCTCTATATCCATCTTTATTTACCCTTTTGCTTTACTGCTCAGGTTATGTGTTCCATTTTCACAACTACTAGACTCCCTAGAAACTACCTCAGTAAAGAAAATTTTTTTTATACTTTAAGTTCTGGGGTACATGTGCAACTCGTGTAGGATTATTACGTAGGTATACATATGTGATGGTGGTTTGCTGCATCCATCCCAGTCATCTACATTAGGCATTTCTCTTAATGTTATCCCTCCCCAATCCCCCCCACCCCAAATTTATCCAAAAAACAAGGAAAAACAAAAATGTTTGCTTTTGTCCCCTGTGAAAATATTTTGTTTTGTTCATAATCAGAACATGCAGGACAGCTTTTGGCCATAATGTGTGATCTGACATTCATTCGTCCATTGACATATTCTAGTAGAGGTAAGGAGAAAAAAATGAGGCCAGGCTCTGCAAATGATTTAGGCACAAAAGAAGAGAAATGCAGCTTTTAATGTACAAAGTTTACAAGTGGAATGGATCTTTT